ATGACCTGCCAGTCATGCTGGTGTGACTGCCATTACAGGTATCCTAACCCAATCGTTAGTAACAGTTGCTGTAATACAAATATTATATAGGTGATTATCCAAATTTTTTGCCATCAATGAGATTTGAACACCCAACCTACCACTTGAGGGGTTGACAACCTGACCACTTCACTAGGTCACCACACACCTTTTTTACTTTCTTTAATAAGATAATTTACTTAAAATAATTTAATAAAATTAATAAATTTTTAAAATTTATATAAATTATATAATAAATTTATAATTTACTTGATGAAAAAATGCATCATCACATATTCCAAAAACATGAATTTTATAAAGAGATTTAAAATAAATTTCTCCCTAATATAATAATAATTTAAAATAAATTTAAATAATTAATAATAAATAAAGAATTATTATTACCTCTTGTTGTGATGAAAAAGGTAAATGAACTTGTTATGCAAAATCCCAAAATAAATGTAATTCAATATTTAATAAATTAATTTTTTCTGGTCAAATTATAGTTTTTTTATCAAAATCTAAAATATTAATTTTTGCATTTTCTATACATTTTCTAAATTCATTTAATATATATAAAATTATTAATAATTTTTAATAATAAATAATTTTAAATATAATATATATTAATATATAAAATTTTAATTATACATACTTATAATATTTATATTTATTATTTGCAGCTTCAATATGCTTATTCTATTTAATTATTTTTTATTCTTTTTCATTTATAGTCCACTTATCAGCATTAAATCGCATAACTTTACAAAAATAATATAAATCACTTCTTGGTATTAAAAACTTAATTTCTGATAAATAATTTTTAAAAATTATTTTAAAAGAACTTAAACAAATATATAGTTCTTCAATATTCTTATCTTGTTCAATACTATCTAAATATTTTCTATATAAAGATGTATAATTTTTAATAGCTGGTAAAAAAGTAATTTATATTTTTTCTCATTTAAAATGTCAACCTTAATAAATAAATATTAATAAATATATTAGTATTTATTAAAAATATTAAATAAAATTTACTTGGTGATGGAAGTCCCCATTTATTAGCATAACTTAAAATAAAATTAATTATTTTTATAATTGTAAAAAAAGGTATTGCAGTATGACTAGATTTTCCTGTAGATTTATAAATTCTAGCTTTAATATCTTCTTGAGATAAATGAGCTCTAATATTTTCTATTTTTGTAGATCTAATTTTATAAATAAATTTAAAAGCTTGTAAGCATATCTCTTCTGAATCAAAAGAATAATTATAATATATTCTAATTCTTTTATTGCCTTTAGAAGTTTTTTTTAAATTTGAAATAGCAATAAAATAATCCATTAAAAAAGAATCTTGATTACTTTTAAATAAAGATTAAAAATTAGAATTTCTTAAAAAAGCTTTTTTAGAATTAATTTTTTCTTTTAAACAATTATTTAGACAACAATTTGTTTTACTTATCTGTTTTATAAAAGTTTTTTCATTATTATTAATAGTTGTTTTTAATTTTTCAGATTCATTATTATTTAAATTATTTTCTTTCAAATTATTAATAATTTTAATTTATCATAAATTTGATGATATTTTTCTAATTGGTATTCAGAAATAAATAAAAATTCATTACTTTCATTATTTTCATCTTCTTTTAAAATTTCATTATAATTTTCTAATTGAGAATTCTTATAATTAAAATTTACAAAATGTATTTGAAGATTCAAAAAATCATTTTGTAATGTTTGAAGTTCTTGATGAGTTTTAAAAAAAATACTATTTAATAATGAATAACTAGAATTTTTCATTTTTAATAAATTATAAAAAATATTAAAATTTAAATAAAATTTATAAAAATATTTTGTATATTGTGTATACTCATTATATACTAAATTATCTTGATTACATATATAATGCTAATCATTATTTTTGAAACAATAAATATGCATGCATGTAAATCAAACATTAATGTACTAAGATAATCTAATATATATACAATTATATATTATATACAGTTATACATGTGGAATCATATTAGAGATAATTAAATTATTTATATTATTTTACAGCAAATTCACTTGCAAAATTATCTATTACTATTATTATATGATAAAATAAAACCTGCATTGTGAATTAGTAAAATTTGTTACATACATAGATCATATAAAGATAATATTCACCTTTGTATAATAAAAAATATAACTAAATACAGATTTTATTTTAACACGATTTATGTAGCAGGTTTTACTAATTATTAATTTTAATATGATCAATATAATGTTTATTTTTTACAAAGATAGTTTAAAGCCTAATATATACAAAAATGCTCTAATTAAAGTTCTATTTCTAATTGTAACTCCAGATTCTTATCAAAATAACAAGAAACACATGCATGTATGTTTGTAGATTTTTGATTGTTCTTATTAACTTTTAAGCAATAATTATACAAATATCAAAAAATGACTATAGTTAATCAGTATCTAAAGCATTTAAAAATCTAAGGCAGGGAATGTACCGAGTGCCTTAATTTCATAAACTGTTATATAAATGATTATGGTTTTTTTTATATTATAATATGGTTGCTTAACCTAACTAGATTCTAAATATTTGTTTAATAAATATGTCATCGCCAGTCAAATCAAGCAAGA